AGGGAAAGAATTTAATGAGTTCTTGCTATGGAAAAATTATCTGATTCTTAGCATTTCTATAGTTACCATAGAGGAAGAGTTTACTAAGTAAATCTGTGAAGAGTATACTGTCGAAGTCAATTATGATTATGATTTGTGTCTTACAGCACATGTACCAATAATTAATTTTTAGATGAGATATAAACTCCAATTATAATGTTTGGCACATAATGTATTATCAAGATTGGCATCAGTGACAAGTTATCTAAATTGCATTAGGAAGAAAATCTTGCCTCCTAATTATTTTTCTGACCACATACTCATTCACCAGATATCCTCTAAATGCAGCTGTTAAGTAAGGCTTTAGACTTGGAACCCCTTACCAATTTACTCATCACCTTATATTCTTCCTGTAGGAGATAATAGCTAGTTATCATCATACCTGATTCAAACTCCTATTGCTGCTTTGCTGTTTCACTTTTTCCTTCTGTCTTTAAAGACATGCTGGTGGGGGATTGGAGGCATTGATCAGACTTTGGCAGTGACTGAATTATTTGTGGAACAAGAGGATAGTACCTTTGTTTACTTTCTGGGTTTTGTTAGGTTCCAAAGAGAATTGATGTGCAAATGCTTTGGTTGTGGCTATATTCAGAACATATGTAGTAACTAAGGAGACCAATGAGAGTCTAGGAAATTTGTCTTAAATGTCACCCCAACCCATTGTAGCTTAAGTTCCAGTTACCCGGTAGAATTGCCCCCTGGAGTGAACTTAACCATTTCAGCCCGGTTTACATCTTGGTCTGAGGCTCCAAGTACAATCAGTCTAATTGGCAGAACTTATATTCAAGCTGACTGTAAATATTTGCTTTTGGTGGCCTTCACTGACTCATGAATATATTGTATTGCAGTCTACCAGTTTCTTTTAAGCTAATAAAGGTGTGTCTGCAAAATTCAAACCCCGTCCAGCCAGCAGCAAGAACTCTGTCTTCCTAAAGGTGAGATTACCAGCCAGGCTTTCACTCTCCTGTCCTTCCTTTCTTAAAGTAGAAATTCTGCAATTTCCGTTCATCTAGAAGTCCTGTGTGCAGGTACTACTATCGGCAAGGGCTGTGATTCAGATATATATATGTATCTGTGTTCTGTTTCACTGGGAATATAAAGAAATAAAATCCATGTTCAAAGTATTTATTCTAGCTTTGATGATAGGTTGTATTACAGTTGCTTATATTAATGTCAAAATAAGAAGATAAGATTTAAACCCTGTTACTCTAGCTTTTGTAAAACACGAGGAGGCTGTAACAGATGAGGCCAAGAGTCATGTTTTGGGTTATGATTCTAATACCTTAATAAATATAGGATATATACTGGATATCTAAGAATAGTCTGTTTGTTTGGAAAAAAAGCTTTTTAAAAGTGTTTATTTCTCATTTGTGTCAATAGATATATAAGGTGTATATTGTGACTTGCTTCTTATAATTGTTTTTAGATTTATATGTTTATAGGTATAACTATAATTTATTTTCCATGTTGTATGGAATTTGATTATATAAATGCATTACAATTTATTTAATCATTCTTCTGTTTGTGATTTGGCCTGGAGTATTTTGTTCATTTTTTTTAACAATATGTTTCATTTACATTTGAACATTTGTTCATTTACATTATTATTGCTAGTATACTTGTAATTTATTTATTTAAATTTTATTTATTTTTGGCTGCGTTGGGTCTTCACTGCTGTGCGCGGGCCCTCTCTAGCTGCAGCGAGCAGGGGCTACTTTTCGCTGTGGTGCACGGGCTTCATTGCTGGGGCTTCTCTTGCTGCGGAGCACGGGCTCTAGGCACGCGGGCTTCAGTAGTTGTGGCTCGCTGGCTCTAGAGCGCAGGCTCAGTAGTTGTGGCACACGGGCTTAGTTGCTCCGCCACATGTAGGATCCTCCCAGACCAGGGCTCGAACCCATGTCCCCTGCATTGGCAGGTGGATTCTTAAAGACTGCGCCACCAGGGAAGTCCTATACTTTGTAATTTATTGCAACCATCTTACTGCTTTTGTCTTTTTTGGTTTGTTTTTTTGTCTTTTTACCTTTTCCTTTTTTTGCCTCCTTCTATGTTGTTTGAAATTTGCTTATTTTTGTCCTTCATTCTATTTTGTTCTTTTCCAATTTGGAAGTTTTACCATCTAGTTTATTAGGTTCCACACCACCCCCCCTGACTACTTATCATGCATCTTTAAATACTAAAGCTAATAAATCTTTACTTTCTTTCTGAACAATAGAAGGACCTATGAAATTTAACTCTGGTCATCCCCTGAGAACCTCTGATTAATGACTGTCTAGCACACTAAGTCAGAATCCAGTACACTTTTACTTCATTTCCAAAGGAAAAATGACTCAGTTAGAAATAGTGACTATTATGACTTACTGAAGATGCTCAACGTAAAGGATAGAATGGGTTTTACATTAAAATTTTCATAAAACTTCCAGACTGTAGATTTTCTCTCTTCAGACTATTTCCTCTTGTGGCTATGATTGTTTCTGGTTCTGGTTGCTCTAGATATGGATTCTACCATGCCAACTTTCCTCCTTTTCCCTCTTTGAAAAGTATTACAGAGAATTCATCACTCTTCTAATGTACTGCAGTTTACTTCTGTCCCTTATGTGTAGTCCTAACTATATCATGCTCTTTGGAATCTAATTTCTTTAAGAGGGGGCAGGGGGCTAAAAGATAATGATGTTCTTGTGTATTGAATTTTTTCCCTGTGAAAGAACTGAAATTTACTTATTTGAGGTTATAATTATGCAGATATTTTGGAAAGTAGTGGTAATACGAAAACCCCCTATATGCTGTTCTTTAAGCTGTGATAACCTTTGCCAGAGAAAGGAATATCTTTTATCACAAACGGCATAGCTGGATGTTCTTTGAGCTCCCCCTTAAGATAAATGCACATCTCACATTTTCTCATATGATTCTTTCTGCAGTGAAAATAAGTTGTTCTATGGACTGGTTGATGGTCTCTGTAAGCCCATGTGCATACAGCAGCAATTTGTATATATTTGCTGATGAATTATATCTGGGATCGGGTTGCCCTGTGACTCGGATACAAACATATGCCTATGATTTTATATACCCTGTGCATGACTGTGGGATCAGGACAAAGGTAAGAATAATGATTATCTGTTAAAAAAAAAAAACAAAAACAAAAAACAAACCTAGATATTTTTTCACAATTTTATGCCTGGTGCTAAAATTATTGTCCTGTTTTTTGTTGTTGTTGTTTAAGAACAAATTTTGCTTCTAGTTAGAGTAATTTATGGATAGACGACAATACAGTTCCGTACTTGGTCACTGAATATTGAGTCCTCTTTGTGCATAAGACTTAAAGCACAGATTTCCAGACTGATTAGTGAACTGATTTTAAGTTGTCTTTAGGCTTCTGTTGTATTTCACTAAAGCTCAGGAGATAGTTTTAAATTCCATTCAATGTTCCTAATGTGAGAGGTCACCAATTCTGGGAAGGTATTTTATATTCAACAATAGATCATTTGAATTTACCCATGCTCTTTCAGGATGTGTGCCTCTATGGGGACTAGATTTTTACTGGAATAAAATCTCTGTCAGTTATTTTGCCAGGCACAATTCTCAAAACTGTGTTGTTATCTTGGGGTGTTATCTTTTCATAGATTCCCAAATTTAAACAATTTATATTCATACTATAAAAGTATTTGGGGTCAATGCCTATTTAAAACTGTCACCTATGAATTAGATGTTGTCTTTATTTTAGAAATGAGGGAGCTAGAACTTCAGAAGGTGCTTTAATTATTTGCCCAGGGATGCACAGCCAGTTGGTAGGTTAGATGCCCAAACAGGACGATTCCCCTCCAAAGCTTATGTTTTAAACCACTCTGTTATTTGATCTCCAAATCATCTCTCTCAGAAGAACTACTGAAAACCTTTTGTTAATGCATGATAAAGATAGCTCTGAGTAACAGTTTCAGTTTGCTCCTATGTACTGTTAAGATGTTTTTCCAGGTACTTTAAGTTCACTCTTACAGATAATACTCCTCTTCTGTCCCAGTGGGTTGTCAGACCTTTGTATGTACCTGAAAGTGACAGTAGCCATTTCTGAGACCTTGAATGTTTTCTACTTCCTGTTCAAATGTGTACATGCCCCCTTTGTTACTAGAAATATCTTCTGCTTAACCTTTGTGCTCTCCTAGGTTGTTTCAGAGGATACTCTCCTTTTTCAAACAGAGGTGTACTTTAACCCTAGGAATATACATTGTGACCCTCAGAAAATCCCTTTGGAATGTTCTGCCTCTAGGTGAGTCCGATAGACAATATACTCCTTTTGAATATGTTAGTTTCACCTTTACTTACCATGTGCTTCTGCAGAAGTGTAGGTTTTAGAGACTATAACATGACTCACTCATAAGCATAAGTCCAAATGAACAGCAAATTAGCATTTAAAAATATTTTGAGTACTTTTTAATTTTTAATTTTAAAATATTCATTTTAGAATAAAAACATTATATAATCTTGTGTAACTAGGTTATTTTACAGTAACTGAACTTTAAAGCAAATCCTCAGTCACCTTAGTAAGTGGAAGAATCAAACATGACATTATCTTTCAGTTTTCTCCTTCGTAATACTCTTTTTCTAATATATTTTATGGTTCAATTCCATGTTAGGAGAGTTAGTGACTAAAAAGTTAAGAGAAAACCAATTCTTCATTTTAATACTAACTCATGGACATACATGAAAGGAAAGGCTTATCAGCCTATCATTAAATGCAGTTTGTTTGCAGTTCTGTGAGGCTGAATCCCAAAAGGACTCCACATGAACTTTGACACCAAGTGGAATAGTATATCCTGATACACTTTTACCATGCCACTGAAATATTTACCCTGAGTATTATATATCTGAGTGAAAAATCTTAGAAACCACCTGAAAACCACAAGGAAAAATTTTATCCTTGTTTAATATATGGAAATAGCTGACATGAAAAAAGAATTTTGAGCTCAGAGCAAATGTGCAATATCTTTTAACATCATCAGAGTCCCTTTTTGGGGGGTGAGGGAGAATTGGTATTTTTAATTGTTGTAAAATATACATAAGATAAAATTTACCATTTTTAAGGGAATAATTCAGTGGCATCAAGTACAACCACATTGTTGAATACTCTTGACCTTCCCTTTAACTTATTTTAAGGAAAGACCAAGGCTGAGAGACTCAGTGATACTCTGGGGAGTAGCTGACCCCTAAATAGAAATTAACAGTTGATTCTGTGTACACACACACATACTCACATACACACACACAAACACATACACACACAGAGACACATACACACATACATACACACACACACACACACACACACACACACACATACTCACTCACTCACACATACACTTTCATTCCTATATACTAGCCAGTGCTTAGAGTAATGTAAAAAGTTCTAACCTAATCCCCTCGGGCTATTGCTTCTCCATAGGCTACCAGATTAAGAGTGATAACTAAGGCATTTCTATTTTTGTTTTGTTTGGTTTTTTTTTTTGCTGTACGCGGCCTCTCACTGCTGTGGCCTCTCCCGTTGCAGAGCACAGGCTCCGGATGCGCAGGCTCAGCGGCCATGGCTCACAGGCCCAGCCACTCCGTGGCATGTGGGATCTTCCCGGACTGGGGCATGAACCCGTATCCCCTGCATCGGCAGGCGGACTGGCATTTCTATTTTGATTGTAATATTATTATATTGTTTGCAGCTATCTTTCTTAAAAATGAAGACTAGGCTAACAAAGGTATATGATTAGGTTTTTGGTGCATGAGCTTTACTGCTGTACACACACACACACACACACAACACACACACAACACACCTCTGTCACCAGTATACTGGGTCACATTAAGCTTTTGACAACTTTTACTGTTCTTAGGATCCATTTGTCTAAGTCTGTTTTACTGGGTGCTTTGGTACTCTACTAAGACAAGCATTACAAATCATCTATTATCCAGAGGGTGCAGGTACCCCTAAATAACCATATTGAAAATGATCATGATGTTAAACAGTGGTAAAAAAAAAAAAAAATAGCTTGGCCCCAAATTTAGATTCAGAAAGACCTGGTAACAAGTATGCCAACCCTATCTGCTTTTTGTTTCTCTTCTCTTTAGGAAATCAGTGTGGCTTACACCAGTTTCTACAGATAATGAAATAAAATTGGATCCCAGTCCCTTTATTGCTGATTTTGAGACAACACCAGAAGAGTTAGGATTATTAAATTCTAGTCAAACTGACTCCATATTTACAGAGAAATTGAAACTTGGAAATTGGGCTCATGAATTTTGTTGGAAAAACAATGGTTTTATACAAAAATAATTGCTATAAACCTTTCTTTAGGTATCTGATCCCTAAAACCCCTAATTCAGTGAAGGTCCTGATTCAGTGAAGGTGAATTTTTAGATACTTTTATTTATTAGGGATATGTCTTATTAATTTAATGTTGACTATCAGATAATCCTATTACCCATTAAATTTTATTTTTAGTTCTATAGAGTAGATTCAGAAATAGGTCTTCAATGACAACAGGATTTAATTGATATAAACCTCCAATAAATATTTTCTAAATACATTTTTTTGAAGAATAAAAAAATGGAGATATGTATGTAAATGTGCCAGAGACTAAAATTTAACATACTAACTCCCAGGAAAGCCAAAGTCCTTTTATATGAAGATAGTTTAACTTGTGTGGGTTTTCCTAATTAATTAGTAAAGTTGAGTCTTAAAAGTAATTGAATATACTTCATATTTGATTATTAAAGAAAGAAATTAGGGGCTTCCCTGGTGGCTCAGTGGTTGAGAGTCTGCCTGCCGATGCAGGGGACACGGGTTCGTGCCCTGGTCCAGGAAGATCCCACATGCCGCGGAGCAGCTGGGCCCGTGAGCCATGGCCGCTGAGCCTGCGCGTCCAGAGCCTGTACTCCGCAACGGGAGAGGCCACAACAGTGAGAGGCCCGCGTACCACAAAAAAAAAAAAAAAAAAAAAGGAAATTAGATTTATAGTCTAGAATCTAAGTAACCACCTCCTTAACTGGAATTAGAGGTCAGGTTTTCCTTTATCTCTGATATGATTCTTCCACACTTGAAATAATTGACTGAAGAGGTCGACATGGAATCATCCTGTCACTTTAGAGCAATCTACTAGATGGTCATTTATCACCAGCTATTATGCTATCCTCTTTTCCCTAAAGAGGGAGTCCACCCATGTAATACACCAAAGAGCACCCTGATTTGGGGGAGAGTTCTTATATCAATTATGAAAATTGAAGTGTGCCATTTGTTATTCAATAAAAACTTTTAAATTTTTTTATTTTTTAATTTTTATTTACTTTTTATTGGAGTAGAGTTGATTTACAATGTTTTGTTACTTTCTGCTGTACAGCAAAGTGAATCAGTTATACATATACATATATCCACTCTTTTTTAGATTCTTTTCCCAAATAGGTCATTACAGAGTATTGAGTAAGGTTCCCTGTGTGTCAATTGCTTATCGAATGTACATTTTGGATGCTATATCCTTTTGGAAATAAATTTTGCCAACATATTTTTTTTGATTTTTTAAAATTTAAAGTGCTGCTATCTCATTGCCAATAAAATGCTTCTTAAAGTTGTCTACATGAATTTAAATTGTCATAATGGGCATCTATCTTTGGTATATATGTATATACAACGAAGAGGTAATCATTTTGTAAGGCTTAATGTGTGTCAGGCAATGTTTCAAGCATGTTGCAACAATTTACTTAATCCTAATAACACGAAGACTTATGTATTACTATTCCAATTTCACAGATAAGAAAAAAAACATAGATTAAATAATTTGCCTGCAATGCACAACTGGCCTCTATTGGTGATCTGTTCCTAATCTTAGAGAGAAAGCTTTCAGCTTTTCAACCGTTGTGTATGATGTTCACCGTGGGCTTGTTGCTTGTGTGAAGGTGCATTCCTCTATACCTAATTGTTGAGTTTTTATCTTGAAAGATTGTTGAATTTTGTCAGATCGAACCACCTCTATCCAATATAATACTGAGAGTCCTAGCCAGAGCAATTAGGCAAGAAAAACAAAAGGTGTCCATCAGAAAGGAAGAAGAAAAATTGTCTGTTTGCAGATGACACGATGTAACATACATAAAACCCTAAAGATTCCATCAAAGAACTGTTAGAACTAATAAATTCAGTAGAGTTGCAGAATACAAAATCAACACACAAAAACTAGTTGTTTCTGTACACTAAAAATGAACTATCTGAAAAAGAAGAAAATTGCATTTACAATAGTAGCAAAATAAATAAAATACTTAGGAATAAATTTAACCAAGGAGGGAAAAGATCTGTATACTGAAAAGTATAGGACATTGATGAAAGAAATTGAAGAAGATACAAATAAATGAAACAATATCTCATGTTCATGTATTGGAATTGTCAAAATGTCCCTACCCCTAAAGTGATCTATAGATTCAATGCAATCCCTATCAAAATTCCAATGGTATTTTTCACAGAAAGAAGAAAAAACAATCCTAAAAAAAATCCAAAATTTGTATGGAACAACAAAAGACTGCAGAGCCTAAGCTAATCTTGAGAAAGAAAAACAAAACTGGAGGCATCACATGTCCTGATTTCAAATTTTATTACAAAGCTAAAGTAATCAACACATTATGGTACTAGAATAAAAATGGATACAAAGAACAATGGAACAGAATAGAGAGTCCAGGTATAAACCCACATATATACCTTTAACTAATATTCAGTAAAGATGCCAAGGGGCTTCCCTGGTGGCGCAGTGGTTGAGAATCTGCCTGCTAATGCAGGGGACACGGGTTCGAGCCCTGGTCTGGGAGGATCCCACGTGCCGCGGAGCAACTAGGCCCATGAGCCACAACTACTGAGCCTGCGTGTCTGGAGCCTGTGCTCCACAACAAGAGAGGCCGCGACAGAGGCCCGCGCACCGCGATGAAGAGTGGCCCCCACTTGCCACAACTAGAGAAAGCCCTCGAACGGAAACGAAGACCCAACACAGCAAAAAATAAATAAATTACTAAAAAAAAATAAAAATAAAAAAATAAAGATGCCAAAAATATACAATGGGGAAAGAATTGTCTCTTCAGTAAATGATGTTGGGAAAACTGGACTCCCACATACAAAAAAAAAAAAGAAAGAAATTGGATTCTTACCCTACACTATATACAAAAATCAACTCCAAATGGATTAAAGACTTAAACAGAAGATCTGAAACTTTAAAACTCTAGAAGAAAACAGGCAGAAAGCTCCATGACATTGGTTTTGGCAATGATTTTTTGCTTATAGCACTGTATGTACAAGCAACAAAAGTAAAAGTAAACAAGTGAGACTACATCAAACTAAAAAGCTTCTGCACAGTAAAGGAAACAACAAAATGAAAAGGCAAACTACAGAATGCGAGACTGTATTTGCAAAAACCATACATCTGATAAGGGATTAACATCCAAAAGATCTAAGGAACTCCTGCAACTCAATGGCAAAAAACCCCAAATAACCAGATATAAAAATGGGCAAAGAATCTGAACAGACTTTTCTCAAAAGAAGACATACAAATGGCCAACAGGTTCATGAAAAGGTATTCAACATCACTAATCAGGGAAATGCAAATCAAAATCATAATGAGATATCACTTTACACCTGTTAGAATGGCTATCCTCAAGAAGACAAGTGTTGAGTAGGCTGTGGAGAAAAGGGAACCCTAATACAATACTGGAAGGAATGTAAATTGCTTCAGCCACTATGGAAAACAGTATGAATGTTCCTCAAATAATTAAAAATAGAATTATCATATGAGCCAACAATCCCACTTCCAGATATATATCCAAAGGAAATGAAAACAGGATATCAAAGACATATCTGCACTTCCAAGTTTATTGCAGCATTATTCACAAGAGTCAAGATATGGAAACAACCTAACTGTCCATCAGTGGATGAATGGATAAAGATGTGATATATCTATATATCTACATCTTTAGAAAGTGGAATATTATTCAGCCATAAAAAGAAGGAAATCCTGCCATTTGTGACAACATGGATGAACCTGAAGCATAATATGCTAAGTGAAAAAAGCCAGACAGAGTCAGAAAAGTGCTGCATGATCTCACTTAGATGTGGACTCTACAATAGTTGAACTCATGGAAACAGAGTAGAAGGGTGGTGGTCAGGGTTGGGGGGCAGGGAGTGGAAGAAATGGAGAGATGTTGGTCAAAGTGTGATTTTCAGTTATAAGGTAAGTAAAGCCTGGAGACATAATGTACAGCGTGGTGACTATAATAAATAATAATGTACACTTGAAATTTGCTAAGAGAGTAGATCTTATATATTCTCGACACATACACACACAAAATGTTAACTATGTGAGATGGTAGATATAATTAGCTTGATAATGGTAATCATTTCCCAGTGGGTAAGTATATCAAAACATCACATTGTACACCTTAAATATGTATAATTTGTATTTGTCAATTATACCTCTAAAAAAGCTGGAAAAAAATCAAGACAAAACTGGGCGGTCTGGATCCAGATCTGTCTGCCATTAACCACTACACTCTGCTGCCTCCATCACTTTAAGTTGCTGAACTTTAGTTTCTAGAGAACAATTGCCATGAAAGCAGTTCCACAGCCCTCAATAAAACGTAAGAAGTTTAGCTATGGACAGAGAGTGCTTTCTTCTGAATCTGGAGCTAAAATTACTTTATGCCAACAGATTTGGGAGGATATAGAGTAGGATGAGTGATTGCTCAAGGCAAAGGAAATTATTGGGCGTATTATTGGTAACAAGTTTCTTCAATATTCTCGTGCTAAAATATGAAGAGTGTGCAGGGTGGCCCTGAGCCCTCTCATCCTGCCGCTCCATTATATAGGCAATGTCAGGTAGGCTTAGAAAGGGGAAGCGGTTTGTCTTAAATTCATGTGAACATTTAATAATAGAAACTAGAACAACTCCAGTCCCATTTTTCATTTCACAAACTCTCCCATCTTCCTTAAATATCAGGAATTCAGTTATTTCTCTTTTCTCTGTATTATTTGTATTTATTACTTTAAAACATTTGGAAGTGCTTATTTTGATGGATAAAAATGTCAATTTCATGGGGGTTCAGTCAGAGTTCAGTTTAGTTTCCCTCTCTTCCTCAGAGAGTACAACAGGGAATATAACATATTTAAGAGGAAAACACATCAGTGGTTAAACATATAAATTAATTACTCTTAAATTTTGTTAACTTTTAATTATACAACTTCTAACTTTACCTTCACAAAAACTAAAAGTATCCATTA